GAAAGAGTTAAGCCAAGTCCAAGAGCTTTTGCATATCCCACCCTTACATTCAAAAGTCCTAACTGTAAACATAAACTAGCTTTCCTTTGCTGTTCCAAAATGGCCTTGGCCTCACCCTCGGCGAGGAAAGAAATGGAAGAAATAAGAGAGAAATAGACCAGTGGGAAAGGGGTGGTTGCAGAACAACTGTTTCAGAAGTCAGCAATGTTTTTTGGCAGAGTGCCAAAAACACCTGCAACCTTGACTTGTAAGAGGTTGGAGTGCCGGGGTGGGTAGGGAGAAGCCACGAGGGGTCTGATCCTTGTTGTGGCAGTGCAGCCCCGGCACCTTGCCTGACATTCGCCCTGAGGCACACATACCAAGCAAAATGCCTTTGAGTGCCACACTCTGGCACCCATGCCAGAGGTTTCCTACCTCTGATCACCTCTATGGGGAACAGAAGAAGTGGCCTGCTATCCATCATCCATCTGGGTTAACCAATTCTACTCACTGGATCAGTCTAGAACAGCAGTGAGCTACTGTGTGGACTGCATGAGACTTTCGCTCAGGGACACAGAGCCAGGAGCCTGATAGAGTCTGAAAAGTTCTGGTGTCATTTTTCAGACTATTAGCAGGTTGCAAGTCAGTGATACTTCTGCAGTGCTTACAATGACTGACGGCTCTTAACGGTGCTTTGCAGCCCAATCACTCATGATGCAAATTACTCTCTGTTTTGCCTCTTCCAACAAGGTGAGCTGTCCTTCCCTGTCAGAGCAGTAAGCAAGATGCAGAAGGGAGAGTAGGTTTTTCCCTCCTCCCTGAGAGAGTGGCCTTCTGAATACCCTCACTTTCATAAAAGCATGAACACAGGGTTTCTTCAAGGCTGCTTCTTCCAGTCCCTCCTGCTGCTGCTCTGGCAGGTACAAGACAAAGGAGCCAACACTTCTGAGGAGTTGCATGTTCTGGGTTTCTGGGCCACAAGCAATGTGAGCAAAATACAAAGGTACATTGTCAGTACTTGCTCTTAGGTGGAACAATTTGTTTTAGAAGGAAGAAGCAGCCCCCTGGTATCAGAGGGCGGATGCTGGGGTCTGAAATTGAGTGTAAGGGAGCTTTCCCTTGGTGCTGGACTCAAGATAATGGGAGATATTTTAAAGGCAAAGGGTCTAGAGGAACACTCCCTCCATCTCCTCAGAGTACATCTGCTCTGCTAAGTGCTGTGCTGCTTCTTGTGTGATTCTCCTCCCAGATGAGAGCAAGACCTTGATTTCTAACATCTCCAGAGCATACAGAACAAATATGGTTGGCAGGCCCCTACCTCCCACCAGTCCCCCAGGGTCAAGAGCCCTCCTCGGACCCCAAAATGATGCTATTTTTAGGGAGGTAGGTGAAGTAGCTGGAGCCTGGTATGGGAAGAAAGGAGTGCCTGGGAAGAGCCAGGATGGATTCCAGGAAGAGCCCAACACTGGGTTTGGTGATGAAGATGCCAGGGTCTAAGGGACAGAGATTGGGTGCTTCAGACAATGAGTGTGAATAAAGGATGGATAAGTGGTAGGCCATGGGCAGAGGGATTGGGGGTGCAGGCTAGTTTTGTTGTTGAGGGAGGGCGCCTTGAGCAAGTAGACCAGTGTTTTCTCCCTATATGCTACTGCTGTAGTTGCTGCTTCCACCAGCTGGCATAGTGAGGGGAGAAGAAAGAGAGCCTGCAGAACAAATTCTGTTAGCATCTGGGAAACTGAACTGCAGAGTAAATGAGAGAAGCCCGTAGCAATACAGTCAAGCATAGCAAGACTACCATATGTGCATGTGTGATATGAGATGCCTGACGCCTGGCAGCACTAACTATACCCTCAATACTCTTCCCTAGCACAAGGCAGGTAGTGAACATGCTTGAGAATTAGAAGCACTGCTCTTAAATTAATCCACTATTGCAACTGCTGAAAAATCAATAGGGTCTGGATGAAATGAAAGCGTGCAGATGCATCAGGAGACAAGATTTTGTATGTCAACGGCACTAAAAATAAATACTTGACCTCCTGAATTACTAGAAGATAACAGGAAAAAATCTGGATTGCAGTCCCTAAGAGCATAGACCAGGTTTTCATAAGCTCCTGGAAAATGGGCTGCCCTGAAACATTCAAGCCTCTCAGGAGGGTAACACACATTTATTGGTTATGAGTTCATTTAGGAAAGCTAGCAGCCCTCCTAAAAAGGCAGAGGGAGAGGGAAGGCAGGGAGTGCTCTTCTGATACACATCTCTTCAGACTTTGCAGGAATACTGTACTCAAACATACAAGGAGAAAAACAGGACTAGTCACAGCAATTGCCATTGTTCGCCAAATTAGAAGCAAAGAGCCTTTCCTGCTTTGTACTCCAGAACTTGGCAAATGCTTTTGGAGCTCAAAAAGAAATCCAAAACCCATTCTGCGTTTTGTTAACTGGAAATATTTCTGGCAGAAAGTCATTTTCCTAACTTAAATGGCAGGTTGGTCAGAGCTAAATAATTAGCAGCAAGCAGTAGAGACAGAACAACCTAACCATTGCTTCACGAATGCCCCATTTTCTCTTTTCTGCTTCTACTTCAAAGTAACACAATTCCAGGCATTGTCCTCTGTAAGCCATTAGATGGCACTGCAGAATTAAACTGAATTTCCACTCTTCCATAAAACTGAGCTAGTCTGGAAAATGGAACAGGTTAAGGGACAGTTAAGGAATAAGGCGCTGACAGACATGAAAAAAACAAAGCAAAAACAGTCCTTTACCGAAAGAAGCAGTGTGTTAGTTCGACCCAGCTCTGCACCCTCTGTATAGATTGGGCACTTCAGCAGGGCTTTTTGGCTATTCAATCAGCTATTCAGCTGTTAGATAAGTGCCAAAAAACCCTGATGAAATGCCCAATCTATACAAATGTTGGGTGAGCCAGGTCCAACTAACATGATGCTTCTTTTGAACATCTGCTGTGCTTGGTGCGGGGGTGCGCCAAGCTTAAAGTGCCATTTTTTCCCCCACTTCTGTATGCAGGATGGGGGGGAGGCTTCTTCAATTTGGGGTTCGATTCCCTCCAACGCTATACATCATAGATCGAAAAGAGTAGTATTCACAATAGCAAGTCAATCTGATACCATGTTAACCAATGCAAGATTGTTAAAACCACACGTGTATATCAGGCATAAACAAGGGGCCTTCTCACCAGAATGGTCAAACCTGCATATTTTAGCAGCAATAAATTAATACAAAAAAGCAGTAAATATTAATTACAAATACAAATGACTAGGAACTCTGATAAACTTTTTTGGTTGATCTGAATCCCTTGATTTTTAATTGATGGAGCTGCATAGCCCTTTTAGCTAGTTTGCTCAGGCTGTTCTGTTCATACTTCTGAAGCTGGTAAGAGTTGTGCTTTTTTGCTGGTTACCTTTCAATGGAAACTGCTGAGATATTTTTTTTCAGCATTTTAAAACTCCTTCTAGAGGATCTACCCTTGAAACCTACCACAAAACATTACTGCCTACCTTTTACTAAATTATATTTTTCCACTGGATGCTTATCTTGCTGCTTGTGAGCACATGCAATCACGAATAATACAACTGAAAACACCATTAAGAAAGATAAACAAAGCAACTTAAAGTCAACAACTCTTTAGTCGCATCATGTCCCTAGTAAAGTGTTTTTGAATTTCGAAATAAGGGAAAAATGATAACTATATGTTTCCAATATTTTTGTCCATTTTAAAATCAACTAAAGAACTGGCTTAAGGGTTTTGTTTCCTCAAGAAATTAGTCCTCATTTTTAAATGATGAAAACTGAAAAAGCAAGTGCGATTCTCTTATCCATTCCCCCCTATTTGACTGCAGTGGCAATACCGGCTCAATGATAATAGCTATTCTGCCCACCATCCCAGTATATAGGCTGTAACAAATGGGCAGTCAGCCAGGCTCCATTTATGTCTTTAATGATTGCCATTTCTCTATGACATGAAAATTCTGTTTTATATTTCTTGTCTAAATGCTGAATTTTCTCCTTCAAGTAAAGCATCACTGCAGACTCTAACAAGGCTAAAAGGGGCTGGTATGAGGCTGTATAACCTGGTAGAAGGCTGGCATATGTCTGAGCTAGCGTTGAATCCTAGAGCAAAAACATTCAGATCACTTGGGCAAAGACAAACCATCAAACGTTACCGTGTGATGCAGTCTTCTGCTTGCTTCTCATGTTGCAACTTGTGATACACTACAGCACCAATTGCCAGAGGCCCTGCATCCCCGCACAAGAAGGTGATGGAGCGCTTTGTGAGACAGCTCAGGCTCTTCTTCACATACTCCTGTGCCACCTGGAGGTAGGAAGGGTCTCCGTACACATCATACAGGTGTAGGTAAAGTAAGGCGATGCCTGCAAAGGAGTAAATGGGTTCAGCCCCGGGCTGCGTGTTCTGTCCTCCTCCCTATATGCTGCATACCTCTGCAGCTCTATTTAAAATATAAAATTCCCAAACTGTGTATGATGGAGGACAAAACAGTGAACACCCAGATTTACCCCTCATCTCATTTGAGGCATTAATATTCCTTCATTTATGGCTAAACAGACCACCTCCCAAATGGTAACAACAAATCTCTCTCTCTCATTTAGTCTATAAGGTACAAATCTACCCTTCCTAAAAGTGTCTTTGATGGACAAGATGATAATTGCAGTTAAAGCAGCTCTCTAGCCTTTACCATGTTGTCATCCTTTTATCTTTACCAGGACACCTTGTTTTGCCCCGTCTCATCAAAGAATATGGGAATGACAAGGTGATTATGATCCCCTCGCATGTCCTGGTGATCACTAAGCTGACATGCTCTGCAGTAGTCTGGACCCTCAGAGGAAAGGGAAGGATTCTTTGAGAATGGATATTTATTTCTCTCCGGGCAGAGAATCAGCTATTTCAAGAGCAAGTACTGTAAACAAAGAGTTTCTCCCTCCCCGCCTCCTTTTGCTTCTCCAAAGCTATTCCTTAGTGCAGCCCTTGTCTGAAACATAAAAAGCTATTCAAAACCTGTGCAAATGCATTCTTCCTCCCCTAGATCTTTCAAAGGAGGCACCCAGCCACATAAACAATGCTGCTGCTAAAAAGCTGTGTCAGTGATTTTTGCTTTGAGCCCTGTTCTGCCCCTCTCTCATCCTGCTCTTGAAGCCTGTTATACATAATTGAGGAGTCATCAGCATGTCCTTATTCAAAAGGTCTGTCACACTAGATAGAGCCTCCCTTCTAAAAACTGGCTAGTTGGAAGGCGTCTTCAAATGGATCCATGGTCTCGGGGCATCCTCAAAGAATATGTATCAGAGAAGCTAGCGGCCTGTATCATTTTCAGAAAAATCTCATTTTGCCCTGTACAGTACACTTTCCATCTCATTAACCCTTTCTAAGAAGACACAGGTCCTGTATTTAAGCCTAAATTAATAGAGCCAATCTCTTCAGATTTCGATGCAGTATGAAAAAAAAAAAAGGCAGCCTTCAAAATTACTTTCCACTGTACTGGGGACAATTTTAAATTTAGATCATTTTCTCATTTTGCATGGGTAATCTCCAAAGCTTCGTGTTACAGACAATTCAATTTCACATGTATATTAAGGACAAATTTCCATTTCCTGCCCAAGTTAATAACCTTGTCCTCTCTCTGAGCAGTTTAGAGCTAGTATTTCCACAGAGAGAAGCTCAAATGTATAGAACCATTGCTCAAGTTTGTAAGGACAGGACATGAAGCTCTTTTTAAAGGGAAGCCCTTGTATCCTGCCTAGCAAATGTCAAGTGACTCTCCATGATTTACTTAGCACCTACCACAGCATCTAGGTTTTTAACAGATTTGATACACATTTCAAAAACTCAGAATCTAGAGTTGTTTTAATGTTTAACTTTTTACCTTCTAAGGAGCTTCTAATCCCATTGCGTTCTCACACTATTTATTTATGCAAGTCACATCCTATGAACTGAAATGTAGAAAAATAAAAAGGGATGAAGTCTTGTCATTTTGTTTTCATTCCATCGCTTTCTCCCACTTCTTCCTCTCCTACCATTTTCTTTTTCTTTTGGCAAGTCTCATTCCCTCCCAAAACACCAAATCAGTTCCTTAATTTAAACTTTTTTTGCAACGTCTCCAAAGGCTTCAAGCCACAGTTAGGCTCCATCTACACTAAAAAAATTTCCACCACATCTTGAGAAGTGCATGAACATGCATGTGCTCTGGCAGCATGGTGGCAGCAGCGGCATTTCTGGTGGCCAAGGCACCTTAGCCAAATCATGCCTCCCCAAATCATGCAGCAGTTTCTCTAAAACCAAGAGTCACTAGAATTGGATCTAAAATCTACATCCTAGAACTGTCACTACGATAATTTGCATGGGAAGACATATATACAAGGACAGATGCATTTGCTGGTAATAGACAAGAAACGATCTTTAAAAAGTGAAGCCATTACATGTACCCTTGCCCCCTCCCCCTGGGGTTTAGTTGGCTAATATTGTATCTCCTGTAACCCAGTTGCGTTCCCCTCCTCACCCCCATCCTTCTATTGTTAGTCCCTCGCTCGGGCGCTATGTATTTCCCTACCGGCTTTGTCAGCTTTTTTGGATTCACAATCCTAAACATTTACTAATAAAAGTCAATCTGCTCAATACTGTATTTACTCTAATCCATGACAAGACTTTCTTTCCCATTTGACATGGGAGGGGAAAAAAAAGCCCCTTATCTTGGATTTGCATATGAGGCCATGGGTGGGGCATGCAGCTGCTGTGGCTTTGGCCCCCAGGGGCTAGAGCCACATCTGTTGCTGTCTCCTCCTCTCTGCCTTCCCCTGCCATTTACCCTTGCTCTGCTTTGATAGCAGTGGCAGCTCTGGTCAGGTCCTGGAGCTGGGGTTAGAGTTGCCATGCTGCCGCCAAGGCTACCAGGCCAGGCTGGGGCCATGCTCTATGCCCTTGACTGGATTGGGCTAGAACCTGTCAGAGTGGAACAAGTGTAAGCCGGGGTGGTGGGAACAGGGGCGGGGGGGAGCAGGGGTAGGGGGCCCACGGCTATGTAAGGGGCAGAAATGGCGGGGAAGACAGGCGACACAGATTAAGCTGCTTGACTCCCAACCACTGCCTGCCCTCCACTGCCTGCTCCCAATTTCCCTGCTGCAGCACTGGTGGAAATGAGTTTAAGATGTCCCTCCAGTGATTACATTCTGTACATGGAAAATTATAACAGATTTTCCATGTGTAGAATCTAATTACTGGGGGTCGTCTTACCTTCAGGATCATCTTGAATTCAGGTAAATATGGTATTTTAGATGCAGCATGATGTGGATGGAAAACATGGGGCTGGGAGTTGGGTAGCGCTGCCTCACAATCCCAATACTGTCATGCAAACTGTGGGTTCAGGCAAGTCGCTTCACAGTTCTCTAGGAAAAGAATGCTTGATCTCTGGAACTGGCATAATGTTTAAGAGGTTGGTTTAATATCTGCAATGTGCCTCAAGCACTACATACATGTTATGTGACAACCAGAGGGGGTGGATATTGGAATGAATCACAGCCTTTTCTATCCTTGCACCCTTCCTGCCCCATATACAGTTGAATTGCTCTGAACACAGGTAGCTATATCATACAACCCTGTACCTGCACACAGAGTTCCTGCACAGATGGCCATATATGACCTGCCAGAGCACAGGATTCTCTGGTTTAGTTCTTTTACATAGATTCTCTTAGTATCTCACCTTCATAGTTTTGTCTGGCACCTTCGAGAATGCATTGAGCAATGTGACTAGTATATCACATGTAGCATTTCTTCCCTCCTTTTTCCAGGGGACAAATGTTTGTAGAGAATGTTTTATTTTGGCAGGGCTTTTTCTGGTGGGGGAGATGTTTTCTAAATGCACATAGTTGACAGGGAGGTACGCTTTGCATGGCTGCCCAAGACAAGCAGAGCTTATGACCCTTGCTTTAGCAACCATGCTGAATCCCTTAAAAATATACTGCCAGAGCTGTATGAGGTTTTGATTTATTTAGCATCTTGCCATAACATGTATAGATTATCCTGAAAGGCTCAAAGAATACAATTTCATCCATGCTTGTTAGTGAGTGGACAAGGAAAAGTTAAATCATTAGGAAGGCGAAGACATTATTTACCCACTGAACTCAAAACTTGTGGAGGAGGGGGAAGGCAGTTTACAACACAGATGATCTCTTGTGTTTTGAGGGACAGCACCAAGAGCAGCAACAATAAACCTATGTAAAAGGAAGTTAGGGCAAGAAGTTCATGGTTTTAGTATCGGTTCAGTCTTGGTCTCTGATGAGGCTGCCAATAAGGACCCCAGTGAGACTATGGTATTGCAGGATTCTAGGAACTGAACTGAAATGAACTTGTTTCATAAAGATCACAAACATACCATGAGAAGTGAATTTGTTTTTGATCATTACGACTAAGGACAGACATTCAAAAAGCTGGATCCTGAATTGATTCAATCGTTGCAGGTTAGTCTAACCTGCATAGATTGCACCAATTTGCAAGTGAACAGACATTCACTTTTGACTCCGGAAATGCAAGCACAGGTCTGCAGTGGCTCAGGCCAGAAGCCGGGAGGGTGCGAGAGCAAGCCCTCGGCTGGAGGCCAACTAAGCTGAGGAAAGGGGCATGGCCAGGCACAGGCAGGCCTGAGTATGATTGGGGAGGGGTTTAAACTTGCACCATGGCCTGCAGGGACCACACCTGGGGTCTGCCTGGAGGGGGAGGGAGGAAGCAGCCCCTGTTAGGGGTTCCCCACCCCTGCTCACTCACTGGCTGGCGGCAGGAGCAGGGGTGGGGCCAGGGCCCAGTAGCCTGAAGCGAAGTGGGGGTTTAATCCCCCCACTGAAGGGAGGGGTGGTTCAGGCACCAATAGGCTCCACTCATGCACTGGGGCTGCAGCAGCCAGACACCAGTAACCTGAGGGGAAGGGGGGGGGGCCATCCCCCCAATTGCAGGAAGCAGTGGCATGGGCACTGACACAGTGCCCTGGGAGGAGTCCATCCGAGGAGTGGCCAGTTGGCCGCAGAGATGGGGCAGGGGGCGGGGATGTGACCTGGCTGTGGGGAGGGGGAACTAGTTACAGAGCCTGACTCACTGCTGCCTCCTGCTGAGGCAGCACAGCCTGGGCTGGAGCGGCCACATGGGGCAGGGGGCAGTACCCTCTGCATCCCGCCCCGTGCAGGGGCTGCAGTTTGCAGGCAGGGTGCAGCTGCAGTGCAGCTCCCTGCCCCCCTCCCTCTACCAGCAGCGGTGAAGTGAACCATGGTGAGGGACAGAGGTGAAACACCTGTCACCTGCCGCCTGCTTGCGGTGGCGACAGGCACTTGGGGCGGTCTGCTGCAGGCCGTGGGCAAGGGCAGTGGCGGGGGGA